ACTAACCATCTCTTTAGGCCTTCGACCCAAAGACTAAATTCGGCGCTAAACTTGTTTATTTAACCTGGGCCAGTGTGACAAGTACCATACTAATGTGCACTGTTTTTCTCTATTTTGCACGTCGTCTATCTCTTGCAAATTATAAATATACCGTCAAGATGTGTGCATATCAAAGTGAGACCAACCTAATACGTCTACCGAGAAGTGAATCATGATTTTAAGAAATCTTCAAATTACATGCAAGTTTATTAAACTTCGTGAAAGGAAAGAAACAAAAGAAAAAGAGTTCATTTCATTCAAAGAATCGCTTGAAAATTTTTCAAACTAAATCATGGAACGAGATCTCGGCCCCTTTTCCTCCAATCCCAGCTATGAAGCATTCAAACCCACATGACTCGAGCTCTGCAATTACTTCATCAACAATGGTCCCTGAAAGCACTGTTCCACATAGTTAAGAAAATACATAAAAAAATATGCTGCTTGTGGTTGCAATAAGATAAATCACTTATCATTGCATCTAATGAAACCGTATCAGTTAGAAAACTGATAATATTTTGAAACTTATCACTTCCCATAATTCTGAAGGGAGTCATTAAAAGGTGACATAAACGCCAGAAACGACAGCTACTTGAGCTAATGATAGAGTGAGAACTGTAACAATCCAAGCCCACCGCTAATAGATATTGTCTTTTTTGAATTTTTTCTTTCGGGGTTTTCCTCAAGGTTTCAAAATGTGTCTTCTAGGGAGAGGTTTCAACACCCTTATAAAGAATGCATCATTCTCCTCTCCAACCGACGTGAGATCTCACAATCTACTCTCCTTTGAGGCTCAACAAACCTCAACTGATGTGGGATCTTACAAGAACATTTTCCAACTAAGTCCCATTAATTGATCACATTGGACCCGTGGCAATGTTGTTTAAGAGCATATGAAGAGTCAAAGCCATAATACTCCATAAACAGAAAAAGGATACAGTTAGGCAACAGCGTAAGAACACAGCCTCCAGCTCCAGCTCCTGTCAATTTGGAAACTAGCCCGTATTTCGAAGTCGTTTGGAGGACGGTTTCGATAGAACCATGGCTTATCCCCATACACTGAAGTAAGCCTTGATTCATTTCCATCAACTCTGCCAACTGTTCTTCCTTCTGAGTTAGGGACATGTCGTCATGAGCTGATGACTGAAGAAGGATTGATAACTCCTTGCTGATAGAATCGACAGCGTTGAACACAGAGCTCATTGCATCAGGATGTCTGATGGCCCTTTCTGAAACACCAGCCACTAAAGCCTTTGTGTTTCTTCCAACCTTTGTGTTTGTAACAAGCATTTCCAATGGCATATTGGATTTAATGAGATCCAAACTGCCTGACCTGAACTTGATCATGCTACCTGATACATAGGATTTTCTTGTATGAGATAGACAAGAACATTGATACGAATTGAGGTTTGAAAATGTAATAGCCCAAGCCTACTGCTATTAGATATTGTCTGCTTTGACCCGTTATGTATCGCCGTCAACCTCCCCGATTTAAAACGCGTCTACTAGAGAGAGGTTTCCACACCCTTATAAGGAATGCTTCATTCCACTCTCCAAGCATTCCACTCTCCAACCGATGTGGGATCTCACAATCCACTCCCTTTAGGGGTCCAGCATCCTCGCTGGCACATTGCTTGGTGTCTGGCTCTGATACCATTTGTAACAGTTCAAGTCTACTGCTAGTAGATATTGTTTGCTTTCATCTGTTACGTATTGTCGTCAACTTCACGGTTTTAAAACACGTTTGCTACGGAGAGGTTTTCACACCCTTATAAATGGTTTGTTGCCCTCTCCAACCGATTGGGATCCCACAATCCACCCCTCTTGAGGGTCCAGCGTTCTCGCTGGCACACCGTCCAATGTCTGGCTCTGATATCATTTGTAACAGCCCAAACCCACCGTTGACAAATATTGTCCGCTTTGACCCGTTACGTTTCGCCGTCAGCCTCACGATTTTAAAACGCATCCACTAGGGAGAGGTTTCGACACCCTTATAAGGAATGCTTCGTTCCCCCTTCCAACCGATATGGGATCTCACAATCCACCCCCCTCGTGGGTCCAGCGTCCTCTCTGGCACATCGCCCTATGTCTAGCTCTGATACTATTCGTAATAGTCAAAGCTTACCACTAGCAGATATTATTCACTTTGACCCGTTACATATCGCCGTCAGCCTCACGGTTTTAAAACGCATCTACTAGGGAGAGGTTTCCACACCCTTCTAAGGAATGCTTCGTTCGCCTCTCCAACCGATATGAGATCTTACAATCCACCCCCCTTGAGGGTCCAGCATCCTCGCTAGCACACCGCTCGGTGTCTGGCTCTAATGTCATTTGTAACGGCCCAAGCCCACCGCTAGCAGATATTGTTTGCTTTGACCCGTTACGCATCGCCATCAGCCTCACGGTTTTAAAACGCGTCTACTAGAGAGAGATTTCCACACCCTTATAAGGAATACTTCGTTTCCCTCTGCAACCGACGTGGGATCTCAAAGTGAGAGGATTACGATAAGAAGAAAATGGATTTTGCATACCATATGTGCTCACAGTATTGTCTATTCCAGAAGGTTTTCCATGGATTATCTTTTCACCCTCAAAGGCCCACTTGTTCAACAAAACTAGCTCATCTTCTTTACATACCATCCATCCACACTGCTCCTGATCGACATTCACAGAGCCTGATAAAGCAAGCAGAGCAGCTGAAATGGCAACACAAAATGCAGCAGATGAGCCCAAGCCTGATCCAAGAGGAAGCTCAGACGTGATGGCTACATCAACAGGCACAAATCTGAAAGACAAGAGAGCATAATAAGTGAAATGGAGGATGAACAAGTTAAAATCTTTCAAACCTTTCATGAATGAAATACAAACCTTAGAATGGAAGAATAGAGCCAAAGGAATGCTGACACTCCAGAGGCAAGCTTAATTTTAGCCTCCGGAATGTTTTGATACTCAACAAGAGATGCAATTGCTTTCAAGCACTCAGCAGGGCATGATGTGGGTGTCGAGATGGGACCAACGAATCCACCCAAAGCCTCCTTGATTCTACTAACTGGCCATGCAAACTCAAGTGCTAGGTCCTTCAGTTGGAGTTTCACAATATCATCCTTGTCTGATAAGAAATGTAATTTGATGAGGAAAAGTGTGGGTAAAGACTCGAGGGTGAGAATATTTGCTAAAATCACCGTACTTAAACGGTGGTGAAAGTTACCAAGGAAATGAAAAGAACAATAAATGGATACAAAATATTTGTCTTTTACGATACCTATGGTATGGAAGGATAAATATCATACAAGGGTCAAATACGATACCTATGGTAAACTGGAATGGAAGACTAAATATCAAACCGGGGTCAAATCTGATACATATGGTAAACCGTAATGGAAGACTAAATATCATATAAGGTCGAATATGATACATATGGTAAACCATAGTGGAAGGCTAAATATGATACAAAGGTCAAATATGATACCTATGGTAAATCGTAATGGAAGGCTGTATATCATAAAGGGTCAAATATGATGTCTATGGTAAAGCATAATGGAAGGCCAAATACGATACAAGGGTCAAATATGATACCTATGATAAATCGGAATGGAAGGCGAAATATCATAAGGGTCAAATATAATGTCTATAGTAAACCGTAATGGAAGGCTAAATATCATGAAGGGTCAAATATGATGCCTATGATAAACCATAATGGAAGGCTAAATATCATACAAGGGTCAAATATGATACCATGGTAAACCGTAGGAAGGCTGAATATCATACAAGATCAAATATGATACTTATGGTAAACCGTAATGGAAGGCTAAATATCATACAAGGTGAAATATGATGTCTATGGTAAACCGAAATGGAAGACTAAATATCATACAAGGTTAAATATGATACCTATGGTAAATCGTAATCGAAGACTAAATATCATACAAATGTCAAATATGATACCTATGATAAATCGTAATAGAAAATTGAATATCATACAAGGATCGAATACGATACCTATAGCAAACCTTAATGGAAGATTAAATATCATACCAGAGGGTCAAATATGATACCTAACCGAGATGTAATATCTACAAAAGGAAGCGTTAATAACACCCCATAAAAATGACATAGAAATATCATCAAAATTCAAATGGGAATCAAGCAAATTAGAACAGGCACATGAAGGAAACTAATACTCTTCAAATTCACCTTCCATATCATACGCTTCAGTTCCAAACACCCAAATAAAAGTCAACCTCAAATGAGAGTGAGAGAGATAGAATGAGCACCTGAAGAACATGGCAATCGAACTGAAGCTGTAGTGTAGAGGTTGACGGAAGCAGCGACGGCGGTGGAACCATGGACGACGGCGTGTTCACCGGCGAGTATGATTTTCCCAGGAGCTCTGGCTTTAACTTCCATTATTTTGTAATGAAGTTCGACAAAAGCTTCTAGCCTTTCTGGGGTGCCTCTGCACTGTCCCCCACAGCGAACGAAACAAATCGTTGGCGCTGATTCGTTGATCATTGAAACCAAAAGGCTTTGTTTATTCCTCGTGTTTCATGTGACTTTCCAGCCCAACACGAGCTTCCACAAAATGCCAAAATACTGCTTCCAAGTTTCGTTAATATCTTTAATTTTTTAACCGAACATTAAGTTAAGTCTACAAATGTTTTAATGCAACACAACCGCAACACAACCCGACTTGACCCATGAACAACCCTAACAGATATATTGCCTCAGAATCCGAATCAGTCATTTCCCTATTTGTGTCTGATGGGTTTGGTAAGCAGCCCCTCTCAACGAGCGAAATGTTAATACGTAGTCAACCGATAATCAAATGAAAAGTTAAAAGTTTCAACAAACAACTTGAGAGATTCAAGTGAAAAGAGCTACCGATACTCGAATGGAAAGTTATCATCAGATTCGACCAACTTTTCATTAAACTCAGACAGGAAGGTGGGGAGATAACACAGGAGTTATTGTCACAAAAAAACAATTCAATTTCATAAGAACTTGTTTAATCACCATCATCAGGGTCATAGTCAAAGATAAACAAGTATGGAGTTACAGGTTCGTGTCCAAGATCTTCTACCGCCATGCTGGGTCCGACAGGCTTGTTCCAACCCAGCCGTTGCAAGTAAACCGAATCATAGGCTTCGATGTTTAAACCTGAAGCAAGAAACAGCTCCAACTCGAGCACGAACCGGTCCGCTCTTTCTGACAGGAATGGCTTTGCTGCATCAAGGATCATGCTGTTAAACCTTTCCCTCTTCAGCTGGGGAGTTTCTGTTTGATACCTAGGTTCATTTCTTTGAGGAAAAACAAAGAACAAGAAGCAGGTTTCAGAGTGTAATCAGGTACCATGCATATTTACATTCACGTGGATAGATGATTGTAACAACTTAATTCCACAGTTTTAAAACGCATCTACTAGGGAGAGGTTTCTACACTCTTATAAGAAATGTTTCGTTCCCCTCTCCAACCGATGTGAGATCTCACAATCCACCCCCCTTCAGGGCCCAACGTCCTCGCTGGCACACCGCCCAGTGTTTAGCTCTGATACCATTTGTAACAGCTCAAACTCACCGCTAGCAGATATTGTCTGCTTTGGCCCGTTACGTATCGTCATCAGCTTCACATCTTTTTAAAAACGCATTTTAAAACCGTGCTGATGGCGATATGTAACAGACCAAAGGGGACAATATCTGCTAGCGGTAGCCTTGGGCTGTTACAGTCATAGTGACTAAGGGTATTCTACCAGCCAAACCCGAACGAAAAGCATAAAAATGACGTTTAATGATAGGTTTATGGGAGCTGGGTATTGTGGATGGTTATTACCTACTAAAAAATGAATGAATTGAACCAAGCAGGTGGTGCATAATTATGTCAACATCTTCTTCCTTTAAAAAGGAAAGGAGACTATCAGTCATCATCCATAAGGAACTGTAATACATAAGAACAGAATGGATCAATCAAGAAACTGTGCCATAGAAACGGTATCATACACCTGCTACTGCTATCCTGTTTAGTCTACAGTAATCCCTCCCCACAGTCTACAGACATATCTTTACCTCATCTTGCCTACTTTCGACAGCCACAACACCAACACCGACATCCACAATACACAGTTTTTCTCAACCATTGAAATAAAACTATGTAACAGCCCAAGCCACCACTAGCAAATATTGCCCGCTTTGGCCCGTTACGTATCACCGTCAGCCTCACGATTTTAAAGCATGTCTACTAGGGAGAGGTTTCCATACTCTTATAAGGAATGCTTCGTTCCTCTCTCCAACTGATGTGGGATCTTACAATCCACCCTCCTTAGGGCCCAGCGTCCTTGATGGCACACTGCTCAGTGTCTGGCTCTGATACTATTTGTAACAGTCCAAGCCCACTGCTAGCAGATATTGTCCGCTTTAGCCCGTTCTGTATCGCAGTCAACCTCACAATTTTAAAACGCGTCTACTACGGAGAGGTTTCACACTCTTATAAGAAATGCTTCGTTCTCCTCCCCACCTGACGTGGGATCTCATAAACAGAGTTCTCAAATCTTCAATCAAAGGGAGTGAAACCTGCTAGGGGTTATTGTGCCATAAACGAGAGAAACCCCATCCCTTTCCTACCTTTTTACATGCCCACGTCCCATTTTGGAACTAAGAATTTCATTAATTACTGGTAATCCGACCATAGGATAACCTGGGAATGAGGAACAGAAAGCTTTCTTCCTTTCCACCCGCCTCTTTGGTCTAGGGAATTTTGTTTGACATTGGGTGTAAACCATTCTCCAGGACAAAGAAGGGGGCAAAGGAAGCAGCACCCATAGAAGTATAAATGCAATGTAAGAAACACAGTCAGGAACCTGAATCAAAGCTTGAAGTTCCCTTTTCAACCAAACTTCGAGCCACTGGTTTGCCTGTAGATACTTCCGTAACTTCCAATACTTCTGTACACTGAATATGTCATCCAAGAAACCTACACGTACAGCGACATTCATTAATCCAAGTAATCATGATGTAAATGTTGGAGCATCAACACGGAAACGAACCTGGTTCAGTATAATAGCACTGTAATCTATACTTTTGAGCTTTTGATAAGATAAAGCTGCAAATAACATCAATTATAATCCATAGTCAATTAAAACACAGAAAATAAGAATAGAACAGGAAAACCTAGGGGAAGTATCAACAGGAAGATACCTATCCTGAAAATCCTGATTAACATAATGTCTTTGGAAACAATGTCCATCTAATCCATGTATTATAGAAGGACTTTCTGTCTGTTGATTAAATGTAAAAAATAAGAAATGCTATACAGAGTATGGAATGCTAAACTAAGACAAGATTAACAGGGGAAGAAAATAGTACCTTGCATAAAGGGCACTTAATGGATGAAAGTGTGCAAGAGTGCTTTCCAGAAACCACTTTAGTCCATTGCACAATGCAATTGTAACAAAATTTATCTGCATGACAGAGAAATAGAATTAAAAGCTTTCGAACTCCTTAGCGAAGTTTGTTGACGTTCCTTTTTGCTAAATAGTATATCGTACTTAACATGAATGATCGAATAATTTCGTTAGAGCAAATTAAATGATCAAGTTCACCCAAACTTACAAAAGGAAGTACATTAAAAGTAAATTAAATGAAGATATTCATCTGAAAGACGTTAACGGAGTTTATCTTTGAGTACATTCATCATATCAAAGAAATCCTGTAACGGCCCAAGCCTACCGTTAACATATATTGTCCTCTTTGGGCTTTCCCCTTTCGAGCTTCCCCTCAAGGTTTTTAAAACGCATATGCTAAGGAGAGGTCTCCACACCCTTATAAAGAATGCTTCGTTGCCTCTCCAACCGATGTGGGATCTCACAATCCACCCCCCATTCCGGGCCCAACGTCCTCGCTGACATTCGTTCCCCTCTCCAATCGATGTGGCATTTCATAATCCACTCCCTTTGGGGCCTAGCATCCTTGTTGGCACACCGTCTGGTGTCTGGCTCTTATACCATTTGTAACAGTCCAAGCTCACCGCTAGCAGATACTATCCTCTTTGGGCTTTCCCCCCAAGGTTTTAAAAACGCGTCTACTAAGGAGAGGTTTCCACACCATTATAAAGAATGTTTCGTTCCCCACTCCAACCGATGTGGGATCTCTCAAATCCATAGCACTCTCGCAGCTGTTTCTGTTTTTCTCTGACAGGAAGATGTCATTATATACGCTCCAAATTGCTTGCCTAAAGCGTACATCACTAAAGAACTGAATATTGGATCGAATAGAGCATCTCCAGAAAAACTTTAAGTCCACTCCAAAGCTACAGAATTAGCTAATTTATCTTTATCCCCAATGAAACCAGTTAATTCTATCTTTCATGATAATATAATCATCAGTTTCTTCCATCGAATATAAAGAACAGTAGCGGAAACCTCAATAACTGGGGAGAGCTAAAAGCCGAAATCCCCTAAAAGGACAACGGAGTGGTTCTTTTGATGATACAGTAACACATAAAAGGGATAATTTCAAGTCGATCACCATAAGAACACGAAAAAGAAAAACCCTAATTCATACAAACAAACAAAATTTCTAAATTAATTATCCGTTCAGATGTCCGGAAAATTCAAGAAATACGAAAGAACAATCAGATTGAGAGAAAAAAAGGACGTACGGAAGCATTTGTCAAGATAGGAAGGTTGAATTATGGGTCCGAGGCAGATCGGGCAAGGGTTCGTATCGTCGGAAGAGGAACTGCTTGTCTCCATCTCCAATGGCGCAGTGCCCTGCAATTCCATGCCCCTTCCCGACAAGGATTTACAATGAGAACGACAATTCGATTGAACGACATGCCGACTCACAATTTATATAAATTATATTAAATTATAATTATAACTTAAATTTCAACTAATAACTCTAGATTTTTAGTTTTTCGAATTATATTTTTTATATAACCCAAATTTTTTACAAAAATAATTTAATATTATATATAATAAAATTTGGTATGAATAAATATTTATATCTAATTTTTTAAACATAGAATATATTAAAGATTTATAAAATACAGAATAAAAAGAATTTACTATCCACAATGGTATGATATTGTCCACTTTGAGCCTAAGCTCGCTCTCCTGGCTTTGCTTTGGGTTTCCCCAAAACGCCTCATGCCAATGGAGTTAGTATTCCTCACTTATAACCCATGATCACACCCTAAATTAGTCGATGTGGGACTTCCATCATCCAACACCTCCCCTCGAACAAGGAGTCGCCTCATGCCAATGGAGTTAGTATTCCTCACTTATAAACCCATGATCACACCCTAAATTAGTCGATGTGGGACTTCCATCATCCAACATCCTTATCTGTTTATGAGCAACAATCAACTTCATCTTACCGAACTCATAAAAACTCCAAATGCTTGGCCAACGTTCATACTGAGAGACGAACGTTAGGGGAGCGAATGAGATTAGATACTCCAGTAGTCCCTCGAACAATGTGATATCTCACACTGGATAAGTCCTTAATCCTTTGTGCTCGGTAGTTCCGTAGCTAGTTTTTTCAAACCGATCACAGGCCTAAATCATTTGTACCGACAAAATTTTTGGAGTGCTAAGATCCAACGTTGAGATTAAATACAAATACAAAAGATTGGATAATTTAACTCGTTAAAAATAAAATTAAAAAACAAAATCAAAAGTTAATTTTATATGGGATAATGTGCATCTAAAAATAAATAAAATGGTAAAATTCATTTTATTAGATTTATTTATTTTTTATTTTTTATTTTTTTGTTTATAATAAATCAAATAATGTCAATTATGATTTATGTAAATTTTAATAAAAATAGTTATTTTTGTTTATTTATTTATTTGAAATATTATTAAAAAAATAATAATTGAACATTATGCGTTTGAAAAAGATTTTAAATTATTTAGTTGATTTTGGAAAATTATAATTATATTATATATATTAATATCAAAATTAGGGGATGAATTTAGGGTAAATTTTCAAATTTTTTTTGTGAACTCCGAAGAGTGGATCCCTAACGGTCATTCTCATTGGTCATTTCCTCGATCCATCGGCCGAGAGGCAAAGCATCAGAGTAAAATGCAGACCACAGCCATAGCTCCTTCTTCACATCCCTCCATTTTCTTCAACCCACTTCTCAATTTCACCATTTCAAATCCCCTAATCCCCTCCAACTCGACATTTCTCTCGACCCTTGTTGCAGTTTCCGATGGATTTCGGGCTCAAACGTCGATCATTTGCGCCAGGAAGAAGAGGAGGAGACCCGTGTTTCTGAGATCGACCAAATTAGTGCTTGAATTGGCGTCTCTCTTAGCCTCCAATCTTAAGATCTTACCGCCGCCTCTGGATTTGGTCGTTGCGGAATTGAGCGGCGGAAATGGGAATGGAGGTGGTTCGCGGTTGTGGAGGAGATTTGGTGGAGGCGGCTATGATGGATGGAGAGGTAAGAGGAAGAAAACCCCATTGTTGATTGGGTTTTTGATTCTTTGTGGTCTTGCTTTGTGCGTTTTCACTGATTTTGAGCTCGATGCGATTTGTGGAGCTCTTGGATTTGCTCTATTTAGCGTTGCATTAATTCAATTGTGGCAGAGAAGTGGGATTTCGAAACATTTCGTTTGGGGATTTGGCCTTTTCGGCATTCTGATTGCCTTGGGATTGAGAAGATCTGAGGTGCAAAAATGGGCTGGAAAATTAGGGTTTTACCGTCCAAAGATGAAGAGTTTGAGAAGAAAAATTGAAGGTAAGAAAATCTTCTGAGAGCTCTTCGATTACCTCTATCTATATATATATATATATATATATTATATATATAAGCAGTTTTTTCTTCTCGAACTAAATTATTGGGACAGTTTCTATGAGAAAAGAAAACCCTGTTCTATTTAGTTTTCTTACTGGTTCTAAAAGTGATCGTAAAGTTCCCCTCTATCGGATGTGATAAAGCCAAGTTTTCAAGCAGCCAAGAACACAGCTGCTGCAACCAACACATTCTATTCAGAAAGTCGTTTGTGGTTTCCTTTTTAAACAGGCAGCTGAGAGGTCTTGTTCGAGTGTTGAAAGAACAAAGCTCCTGCTCTTTGCGGGTATATGTTCAGGCAAGTCCAGCGACCCATCCTCTTTTTTCTATAGCACTGAAGAACAGTAAACTATAGTGATAGAAGAACCTCGACTAAAGTTGTAAGTAAAGACCGGTAAAGACCGGTAGGTCCTACTTAAGGTGACTTTTTTTTCGATTTCCATTTAGAAGTTCCAAATTTCAATGCTCCCCCTCTTCGAGTGAAGAAAAAGATCCAATTTTCACTTCTCGTCCATTTCTATGATCTTCAATCTTTGCCCATCTGCTGGAGAAACGAAGAAAATGAAGCAGAATTATTACAGTATTATAAGATTCTTGGAAAAATGCAAAACCATGAAGGAGTTGAAGCAAATACACAGCCTGATGGTTACTACTTCATTCATCAAGAACATAATCCCCTGCAGCAGACTTATTGATTTTTGCGCAAATTCCGAACTGGGTGACATCGAATACGCAAGATCAGTTTTCGATGGCATTGATCAGCGCAGTGTCTACATATGGAACTCGATGATCAAAGGCTACTGCAATGGCAGTGACAAGTTTGAAGCTCTGTTTATGTATGAAGAAATGCAGCGTAAAGGCTTCTCCCCAGACCATTTCACCTTCCCTTTTGTGTTGAAAGTGTGCTCCATAATCGATCTTCTTCGATACGGGCAAGGCGTTCACAGTCGAATTGTGAAAACTGGGTTTGAATTAGATTCGTATACTTGTTCTTGTTTGCTTAATATGTATGTTTCTTGTGGAGATTTGAGTTCTGGGCTGAAGGTATTTGAGTTTATTCCCAAATGGAATGTGGTCGCTTGGACTTCATTAATTGCAGGGTTTGTGAACAATCATCAGGCTAGAGAAGCTTTGAGATTGTTCCAAGATATGGAGAATGAAGGTGTGGAGCCTAATGAAATCACCATGGCCACTGCCTTGGCTGCAGCTGCTCGTTGCAGGGATATCGACGCTGGAAAATTTGTTCACAATCGTCTCTGGCAACTTGGTTACGATCCATTCGAAACAAATTCTTGCTTCAATGTAATACTTGCAACTGCAATCATGGACATGTATGCAAAATGTGGCAAGTTGGAGACTGCTCGGAATCTATTTGATAAAATGCCTCAAAGGAACTTGGTTGTTTGGAATTCGATGATCGGTGCTTATAGTCAATATGGCCGAGGCGTGGAAGCGTTAGGTCTTTTTGTTGACATGGGATTGGCTGGATTTGTTCCTGATAAAGCAACATTTCTGAGTGTGATAAGTGCTTGCACCCAGCTGGGGTTTCAATCGACAGGGCGAAGTCTACATGCTCGTGTGTTAAAAACGAGCTTTGGCGAATACGTTACCATTGGAACTGCTCTTATGGACATGTATGCCAAAGCTGGAGATGCAGATACTGCGTTGAAGATCTTCAGCAAGTTGCAGAAGAAAGACGTAATGGCCTGGACGACGATGATACTAGGCTTAGCAATCAACGGCAAAGGCGAAGAAGCACTGCATATGTTCAGAAGAATGAAAGCAGAAGCTGACGTTGCTCCCGACCGGGTCACCTACATTGGAGTTCTATGGGCATGTAGCCATCTCGGGTTAGTTGAAGAAGGTCAGCAACAGTTCACCTCCATGACTGAGGTTTACAGTATCGAGCCTACCATGGAGCATTATGGCATCATGATCGATCTCTTGAGTCGAGCAGGTCAGTTCGAAGAGGCCCAGGAGTTCCTGAAGAAAATGCCAATGCAGCCTAATGCAACAATATGGAGTTCTATTCTGAATGGCTGTGAAATTTATGGAAATGTAGGCCTTGCCAACAGAGTGAAGAGTCACATAGCAGAGCTAAAGCATTCCAGCAGTGGTGTTTATGTACTTCTATCAAATATTTATGCTAGAGCCAGTAATTGGCAGGAAATGAAGCTTGCTAGAGATATGTTAAAGCATAAAAGAATAGGAAAAACTCTTGGGCACAGTTTTGTTGAAGTAAAGTTGCTACCTTCATAGCAAATGATGCTAGTATTGCACCCATCAATAGTTCCATATTACCGTGTCCAAACTAAGAAACTGAAAAAGCAATCAAACCGGGCAAGTCAAGTCAATCAATCTTCAACATCGTCGAACAAGCTTGAATTCCCCACAAGCGATGTTCAGTTGGCAAAGACAAACCTCGCCTAAGGTCTGATAAAGTTACAAAGCCGACAAAAAATATATAAGAGCCTTGAATTCTCCTTAAAGCTGGTTGTGAGCGTGTCAAAATCATGACACCGCACAGTAGAAAAAGGAGGTAAACCCAAGAGATGATTGAAAGAGTGTCAGGAGTGCCAGAATGGAATGGACAAAACAGTTGCAGGTAAGAATTAGAATCATTCAACCATTTTTAATTGGATCATAGGTTTACTTGAAATCGACTTGAATCCAGAATCGTTCTACTTCTGCTACGATTTCAATTGTTTCGTTTTCTCAGAGTAAAAACCAAACCAAATTTACTTGATGCTTGTAACAAAAGTGAGGTTCTTTCAGCTATGTGACCTGTTACACAGTTTCAGTCACAGATGGAGAGAGAGATCCAGAGATCATGAAACTGGATAGTAAAATGAACTAGTCGCTTGTTATCTATACATCAGATCTTTTAACAAAATCACAAATTCCATAGCATTGTGATGAATTTCTGGGAGATTGGACGAGAAAACTAAGCTGGTCCTTTCAAAGCATCTCCTTCTATGAACTGTGAGAGAGAAAATGATCTAACTTCCTTCCTAATAGGCCATGTTTCTT